CCAGGGGAGGGTGTGGCGAGAGGCACTCAGGGCTCCTGCCATGGGAAGTGGGGCCTTGTGTGTCAGGGTGGAGTTGCAGGGCTAGCCTCCTGGAAAGGGGGGTCCACCCACCGCCCATGGGGGATGGAGTCACTGGGGGGAGCAGCAGCCACTGGAGATTCAGGGAGGGGGGATCCCTGTCCCCGGGGGAGCTGTGGAGCAGGGGACCTTTCCCAGGGGGATTCTCCCCATCTTGGGGGATGCACAGAGGGCTCGGGGCCCAGGGGCTGCTCAGCTGGCTCCGGCCCCTCCCACTCCCCTGGAAACCCAGCACTCAGTCGGGAGCTGTGCTGGGGAGGGGAAGGTGGCTGGGCCGTCGTGTCGGTCCCTCCCCCACCTGGAGTCTACGTCTCACGGCCTGTTTGCTTCCCACTGCAGAGCCCAGCTACCCCAAACCCAACATCTCCCTGAGCCCCAGCCGGGGGGTCTCCCTGGGGGGAGCCGTGAGCGTCTGGTGTCGGGGGCAGCGCCAGGGCGTGCGGTTCGTGGTGAATAAAGAGCGACGTCATTTCCCATCTGTGGATTCGGACGACAATGAGGCTGTGTTTCCCATCAGCAACGTGAGCCGGGAGACGGGGGGAGCTACAGCTGCTCCTATCACAGCAGATCGGAGCCACACGCCGTGTCGTACCCCAGCGACCCCGTGGAGCTGGTGCTGAGAGGTGAGGGGCCCGGCTCGGCGTCCCCGTTCCCAGCCCCACCCCCAGCCAGACCCTCACGGGGGCTCGGTGCCAATGGGACGCTCAGAGCCAGGCTCTGCCCTGAGCCCTGACCCCGCAGAGAGGACGCCCGGCTGGGGAGCGGGGATGGAGTCACTTGGGGGGTTCCCCAGCCAGGGGGGAGCAGCAGCCCTGGAGGTGACTTTAACGCTGTCCCCTGTTTGTATGAACCGTGAGTCGCTATTTAATCCCGTGATCCCATCCCCTCTATTCTCCAGCGCCCGCCCCAGGCAGTGCCCTGGCCCGGGCTGAACGAGGCAGGGGCTGCAAGAGAAGCAGTGGCTTGGTGGACACGGCGCTGGGCTGGGACCCAGGAGATCTGGCCCAGCTCCTGGCTCGGCCACAGACTCTGTGCGGTGGGAGCACGTCGCGGTTTTCAAAAGTGTCCTTCATTGTGCGGGTGCCTCAATCTTCAGGGTTCTCAGGCCGAGCGCCCACAAACCGAGATGCCCACAGTTAGTGGAGACCTCTGCAAACACTGGCCTCAATAGCGCTGGATCCCTTGTGTTGCGGGTGCATGTAAGGCCCCCGCCATGAGGAGGGCCTTGTTGTGCCAGGTGCTGCATAAACACAGAGTGAAGAGACAGTCCCTTCCCCTGGGAGCTCACTGAGGAAAGTGACTATGTCTGTGCCTCAGTTTCCCACTATGTAGAATGGGAGGCTGACTCCCTTCTTGTGTGCGGCTCGGGGCCTGGTGCTGGGCGGTGCCGGGCACCAGAGACCAGCCCGTGAGTCGCTCTGTGCTCGCGGGGCTGGATGCAGTGAATGAGGCAGGGGCCACACATGGGCATATGAAGATCCCAAGAACTAGGGAGCCGCGGCTCCATGTCTGTGGGGCTGGGAGCCCAGCTCGCAGGGCTGGGATTCTGGGTGGGGGGAACTCTGGGATCTGGGAGAGAATCTCTGCCCAGGGGCCCCAGGATCTGCCCAGGGCTCTGGCTGGCCAGGGAGGCCGGGGCTGGGTGGGTGCCTGGGTCTGGCTCTCACAGCCTGTCTCCTGTGCGCAGATCCCAGCTTACCCAGACCCTCCATCTCTCTGA